GCGGCCCCTGGGCGCGACAGCAGGTCGTTCATGGTTATCTGCTGATGTGCTGGCGCACTCAGGAGCCGGATTGCTTCTGCGACCTGCTCTTGGAGCATGTCCTTATAGTCCTCTTCGGCCTCTTCAGAGTCAGAATGCGCGGGATGGCCCCGCATTTCGTCATCAGCGTCTCCCGCTTCCGAGCCAGCTCGCGGAAGATCTGGCAGCAACGGCATGCCAATCACCTGCGGTGCCAGCGCGGCGGCGAGCTCTTCCTCGGTCGCCGGGACGGTCTCAGCATCGGAGATCTCGTCGTCGGCGGGTGGCCCCGCTGGAAGACCGAACCAGGCATTGAACGCGACCTCGTCGACTTCGTCCCAGCCGTGGAACTCGTCGAAGAGGGTCACCGCGTAGTCTTCCAGGGCTACGGCCACTTCAGCGTAGCGGGCCATCACGTAATACGTGGAGGAGCCCGCGGCGGGAGCCGCTTCTGGATTGACGTAAAACTCGTAGTCAATGTAGTCCATGTCATCCATAAAAGAGTTTTGAGCCAAATGTACGGATCCCTTTCCTTTCCCTTTCGGGCATTGGTCGCGCAAATGCTCTGTACTACCGCATGTATGACACTTCATAGTATTGCCAGAAGCGCCCCTAGGGTTGCCCCTCCGCCCTTTTCCCTTACCAGAGGTCCGCCTGTGACCCCGACCCTTGCCTCCGATAAGAACTTCTTCAAAAACTATATCAGTTAAGGACGTGAGGAAAGCAGTAATACCCCTACCATGCATACGGCGTCTGCGACCCCCTTTGCCACGACCCTTTCCATATCGTTTGAAATGTCGGCGTACTGCACGTCTCACTTTTCTGACTGGTTTCTTCATAAAGCGCCTCCAACGGCGTTTTGATTTGCGATAAGCCATAAAAGCGGCTTCCGCTCTTTGTTGTTCAGAAAGGTGAGTGTCATCCGCTGGATAGTCATTACCAGCAGAGACTATGCCATTGTGCTCATCGTCAGATGAGGTATCTGTGTCAGTGCCAGATTCAAACGGTGAGGGTGGCTGAGACCCTTGAGCGGATGACTCCGCTTGGCCCCAGAGGGTTGTGCCCGAGGGCGGGCTTGCAGTGCAGGCGGCGCCTGGCGAGTAGTTCGACCAGGCGTTCGCCTCAGCTGCCTCTGCCGATGCCTGGCCGGTCTGCCCTAAGAAGGCAGTGGCCTCGTTGGGCATATCGGCTGGGTCAGCCCAGGGACTTGGCTCGCCAGGACCAGCAGGTGACCCCGCAGTCGTGGCGTAGACACCTGCATGTGAGTGGTGCCCTGTGAAGATGCCCGCAATGTTGCCAGGAGAGCGCTCGGCAACATGTCCGTAGTTCCTCATCCTGGTCAGCAGCCTGTCATAGTCTGCTTGTGTTCTGGGCATCTGATGATTAAAGGGCTCCAGCAGGTGTTGGGCTCGTGACGCGCCAACGCCTAACGCTCTGAAAAGGATCAGCGTTAGGATCTGAAAGTTGGGGATGACAAAGCCAACAGAGTTAGCCTCGTCACGGGCCATCTCGAATCGAGCTAACACTGAGTCGATTCGCTCGCCCCTTTCGACGCGAAAGTCGATAAGGGCAGTGCCAGAGTTGAGCTGGCGCTCATCTTCCAGATTTTCAAATTTGGTGCTCAATAGGTACAGTATATAAGTAACTGCATCCGTTGGCTGTCCATTGACAGTTACACCATAATTGATGATCTGGGAGGGGACCTGCATGGCGATACGACGAGCAAGACCTTGAAGGCCTCGTTGTAGTGCTGCAGCTTGTTGAGGTGGCGTCATATTGCCGCTCGTTACGTTTATCCATGCATGTACTTCGCGAACGTATTCGCGAAAAGGCGTAGTACCGGCAGGGTCCCACGAAGGGCCGGTAGTACGCGCGTCGTCCATCCCCTGCCGCATGTATCCCACAGCACATCCCATTATTACCCACAGAATGCCGAAGATAGTTATCTTAATCCAGTGCATGTGCATTTCGGCTTCGGTGATTGGTTTAGGCTGTGGTTTGTCAGGCTCTGGCGTAGTAGCCGTGAGGCGCCTGACTGGCACGGGATGCAGGTGGCCCCGCTGCGGGTAGCCCCGCAGGGTGACCACGTTCTCGATCGAGTTGCCGATTGGCATCTGGTGGAAGTCGAGAGTGAAGTAGCGCAGTGAAGTAGGAGAGAGCGTCTCGAGTTCGCGGGTTGCCCCGCTAGCTCGATCGCGGACTGGCTCCGCTCCTCGCAGAGCCGGCGCAACATGGTATTCCACCGTAGTAGTAGTCCACCAAGTTGTGCCGTGGATTACAGGAATCAGAGCGAGAGCCAGCCACACGAGAGTGTAGCCAGCTCCGCTACCAAGTCGAAAACATGCTGGTAAGCTTAGGTATGTGTTACGCTTCAAGCGTTGCCATATCCCAGGCTTTGGCTCATATCGCATGAGCAAGAGAGCGAGACGAAGCATGGGATCTGGAGTAAAGGATAGAAGGGGCATCTTCAATGGAAAAGGTATTTTCCGATCTCAGATACCAGTCGTGCGCCTCGGTGAGGCACAGTCATATATTTGGCCGGGCCCGGCTTGAGCCAGGCACGGCAGCGGTACATGCTCGATTTATACCTCGCCTTTAACCTTCTCCGTTTAAAGTGAGGGCCCCAAGAGGCCGAAATCATCGATTTGCCAACGAAAAACGTATATGTTTAGCATGTGCGCTTTGTCGGCTTCCACGGCGTTGACGCCGGCCCAAGAGGCCCCCAAGACCGCCCCAAAACCGCCCCAAGAGGCTCCCAAGAGGCCCCCAAAACGGCCTAGAAGGGCCCCAAGACTTATGATGGCAGCGGCCTCCTCCAGGAGGGATATGGAGGTTTTGCTGGAAAGCGTAGTCAAGAGTGTCAGAACAGTCTGCAGGCCGCGGCGCTCAGGAGTCTCAAAACAGTGTCGCGGCGACACTGTCGCGCAAAAAAAAAGCGCAGGCCGCTCAGGCGACACTCGGCGCTGCCACGCCGCGCGCAATTTCGCAAACCCGCCCCGCCGAGTGGGCGGCGGGCTGGGGGCAGAGCACCCGTGCCGCGCGCTGCCGAACCAACGCGCGGCACATCAGGAAGCCAACGCGAGGCGCAAGAACCTGCGCAAGGGGGGGCACCCACGGACGCGAGCTCGCGCTCGGGCCACGCGCAGGCCGCTTTGGAGCCAGGCGAGGCGGCCTTGAGCCAAAATGGCCACGGACGGAGTGGAGGGGGATGGATGAGGAGGGAGGGGCGGGGGCAGCGGGGTGGTCCGGGGAGGGGGGGTGCGAGGACATAGCGGCGGAACCCCATAGGGAGTTCCATCGGGGGCCCCATTGCCAGCGGTCGCATTCGGTCCGAGGGTCCACTTCGGCGCGCTCACACGTTCCGCGCCTTCATAGAGAGCTCCACCGAAGGCGCCAGCGGCAGCGGTTGCCTGCGGCCCGAGGGCCCACTCGGACACGCGCTGGTTTTCGGAATCGCGCTCTCGCCTTAGGCACCTTCGCACCGCGGGCTCCTGGCGGGAAAAAGCGTCGGCCCACTCGGAATGAGAGGGGGTGGGGAGTAAGAGGGGGGGTTCGGCGGCGGCGACGGCGGCGGCGACGACGGCGGCGACGGCCGCTCGGGTGCCCCCCCCCGCTGGCGCGGCGGCGCCCTCGGGCCGCCCGTGGCGGCCTGCCCCCTCGGGTGGCCGCGGGCGGGGCGGGAAGCAGGAGGCAAGAGGGGGGGAGAAGGGGGGGGAGAGGAGGGGGGAGGGAGGGGGGGGAGGAGGCGGGGGGGCTAAGGTCGCGTGCCAACTCACGATGAAAACAGACGAGATGGAGAACAAGAACTAATGGCTCTCAGACCGATGCAAAGAACTCAACGAACAAAAACATCACCTCCTTGCCATTGTACATTGTAACAATGACAAGGAGGCGGACAGGAAAGCCAGAAAGGCCTCGAGGAAGGAGCATAAGGGGAAATATCGTGAGGCCTCGGAGGGGAAGAAACGCAACGCTGCCAATAATGAACAAGAAAACGGAACGCACGGGCCCCAGGGTAAGCAAAGTTGGGGGAAGAGAAAGGTGAGGAGGGGGAGAGGATGAGGAGGGGGAGGAGCAAAAGGGGGAGGAGGAAGAGGGAGGGGGATGGGGAAGGGGAGGGACATGAGGGCGAAGGGGAGAGGGGCGGGGGAAGGGGTGAGGAGGGAAAAGGGAGAGGGGGGCGGGGCGGACGAAGGGAGGCGGGAGAAGGGAAAAAGGAGAGGCCCCGCCGTCATCACGCCTTGTTCCATTTTCTCATTCCACCATCCTTCCTTCTCCTCCCTTCCGTCTCTGTTCCACTCCTCCGCCTCCTTCTCCTCCTCCTCCTCCGCCCCCCCCTTCCCCGCCGCCTCGACGCGGCTGACTTCGCCCTCTGGCGATGCCAGGGGCGTCGGGCGCAGCCGCGGGGGCACCCCGTCGGCCCGTCGGGCCCCTCTGACTCTGTCGGGCGCGGAGGGGGGGTAGGTGGCGACGGCTCGAGATCCGCGGGGGCGGGGAGCGGGGGGCAGGGGTTAGGCCGGTGGGGGATCGGGGGGGTGGGGTGGGCGGGAGAGTGGGGAAGAGAAATACGCCCCCTCGCCACACGTGTTTTTCTCCTCTGGCCTAGAGAGCTGGAGATACCGCGTCCTGACTGAGTCCAGTCAGGCCCCGATGCGGACCGACTCGCAACTCGTAACTGTCAGCCCGCATGCTGTCTGCGGGCTGGGACCTGGGCCGAGCCTGCGCGTGCGTGTGTGTGTGTGTGTGTGTGTGTGTGCGTGTGTGTGTGTGTGTGGTGTGTGTGTGTGTACCTCTCTGTCGTGCTGCGTGCTTGCACGCTGCGGGGGAGGGTGCTGCAGCGTTTTCTACACGCGCACCCAGCACCCGTGCTGACATGCACGCGCGGCGTCTGCGTGCGCTCGCTGCGTGCCGAACGCCAAAATGGCAGCTCGTTTCACCGCACCACTCGGCCCCAGGAAACCTAACTACACATTAATTTTGAATTACATGGCCAGCTGCACCCGCGCCAACAGGGTTGGATGCAAACGGTCCTGCGAAATGCCACGCTCCTTGAGGGCACTCGTCGTCTTTACGATCGTAGCCCTCAGCAACTGCTTGTCAGTCGCTTTCTTAAAAGCCATGAACAAACTGCCTGTCACAAGAGTCACCCACGCGTTGGTGATGATCTCTGACACCTTCTGGTAGTTCTGATCCCCCTCGATGCGCAATCCGTATTTCTCACCCTCGGACTTCCAGCGGGCCAGCGCCTTCCAAGAGGGAGGTGAAGGAGGGAAGGCCATGCAGCGGTATCTTAAGCTAACTGGTGCGCGGCTTTCCTTCTTTCACCTTCCTCCTCGAAACCCATCTGCGACCCACTGAACAACTTAATAAACAAACACAAAGATACGTCGGGCGTGAGCCCGAGCACGTTTGCACCAACATAACTGGGGGGGCACACAGCCGCCTTCTCGGCAGCGTCCACATTCTTCTTCAAGGGGGCGATGGTCTTGCTCATCTCCGTGGACAAGATCGTGCTGTCGGCGTGGACCGCCAAGTTTTTCCACACGTGGAGGTTGGCTGGACCAGCGCTCAACCAGTCCGCGCCGTCGGGGAGGCCGTGCATGTAGGGCTCGATCTTCGCCGCTGTCGTCTGGGTCTCGGCCGATGCCACGTCGACGGCGTGCTGGCCCACCGTCTTCACCACGCGCCTCGCGTCCTCCACGTACTGGTGGATCTGCGCCCTCATGTGCTCGTGCAAGCTGATGTCCGAGTCGGCCTCGTCCTTGATGTAGGCGTCCAGCTTCTCCAGGAGGACGCGCAGGAGGGCAAGCTGCGGGTCCCCGAGATCCACCTGCTCCGCGATGAGCTTCTTCTCATCGTCGAAGAACTTCTGGACGATCGACTCCGTGGTCGGCCTCAGCGACCGACATGCGCTCGATGCCTCCAAGCTCCGCTGCTGTCCCTTCGTGGCCGTGCTCGGCAGGAAGTCGTGCAAGTGGTGCGCTGCCTGCATCGCGGCGTCCGCCATCTCCTTGTTCCCCTCGGGCACCGTCAAGATCTTCTTGATGAGGACGCAGGCGCACTCGCCGAGCTTCGCAGTCATCGTCGAATCCAAGTCGTCCTGTGTCATCTTGTCCATGATAAGGCGCAAGTCGTCGCGAAGGTTGACCGCGGTCACCGTGTCAGCGAATATGTCGTTGACCAGCGTGGTCAACTGGGCCCTGATGGCATCGCGGGCCATGGAGGCGTCGGCTTCGTCCATATCCGTCTTCATCTTCAGAAGCTCGACGTCCGACGGCATGGCGTCGACCGCCTTGCCCAACAGCTGGATGAACGTGCTCTGCTGCGTCTGCGCCAATGACCCCGTCGACGTGGCTGAGGCGACGCTGGCCGACAAATCTTTCAGCGCGGCCTTCACCTCCTTGACGACGGGGGTCGCGAGCTCGTCGTCCAGGGAGCACGCGACTTTCGGGATGGTGCTCAACGCCGCGGTGGCCGCAGCAACCGCCCCGTCGAAGTCCAGGGGGCTGCGCGCCACCGACAAGAGGGCGGACATGGATGCTGAAACCTGGGGGGCGAGCTCCATGACCATGACTTTGTCCTTCATCAGGGTCGTCCACGTCTTGTTGTACTCGGCGCACGCGCCGATGGCGATCGCCACCCCCTCCAGCCCGCTGAAGATGCCCCCGCGGTTGGGGTCGAGGGAGAGGATGTCGCTGTAGAAGGCGTCGATGTCGTCCGCCTTCCACGGGCCGGTCGGGTCGCAGATCTTGGCGACGCCGCCCACCATGGAGCCCAGCGCGCCCAAGAAGTGCGACGCGTCCTCGCAGAACTCCTCTGTGTCGGCCAGCAGATCGTCCATCAGCGAAGCCATCCGAGAAGAAATCGTCACGAGCATATCCTTCTTCTTGTGGCCTCCCTCGATCAGTGCAGTGTACACGCCGCTGATGAAACTCTGGTTGAACATGCGGATCTTCTCGGCCATCTCGAGGTCAATGAAGTGGAGCTTCGGCGAATCCGCAGTGAAGGTGAGGCCCGCTTCCTGAGGGGATGTGGGCCATGGCCACACCATCTCAAAGAAGAAGGTGACGTCGGTCATGGACTGGAGCTCGACTGTCATGCGTTCCTGGAACACCTTCTTGCACATGTTCTTCTTGACGACGGGCGGGATATCGATGGACTGGCGCAGGCGCTCGAAGGCGTCCTTGACATCGCCAGCCGAGGCGCTGAAGATGTTGGTCTCGTGAAGCTTGTTCGCGAGCTCGTACTTCGTCATGTGCAGGGTGAGTCTGTTCCACTGGTCCTTATCCTTGTCCCTCAGCCTTTTCAACTCTCCAGCGGCGTGGTGCGCTTGGACGCCCAACTTCCCAGCAGTGAGCACCTTCGACAACGGGAGCTTCGCAATCCACTGGTCCCCCTTGCCCACAGCGGGGCCCCCTGCAGTGGGGGCCTGGCTCGCCGAATCGTCAGCATCGATGCTGCAGGCGTTCGCCGCCGCTGCCTGGAGTCGGCCGATGGCCGACAGGGCGGATGGCACCCCGCTCACAGCGCTCCTCGCAGCACGTCGCTCCGCCATGACGTTGATCGTCGTCGCCGACAAGGTGCCCTTGCTGTAGAGCATGGGCGTGTGCGGAGAGTCAGTCTCGCCATCTCCCGCCCCCCCCGTTGGCGTGGACTCGATGCCGCCAGAGAGGACCGAGCACGCTCCTGACATGGTCATCGGCGGCGACATGGCGGGCACCCCGCCTGACGGCAACCCCCCGCCGCGGAGACGCCGCATCCCCATCGAGTTGGCCATCTCCTCCGTGAGGGCCAGGCCGGCGTCCTCGTGGGTCTTGAGGTTCGCGAGCAAGGTTGACGGGCCACTCGAGTGAGTCTGCTCGCCCATGCTCCAGTCGAACGTCCGCGTGCCCTGGGAGGCGAAGATGTGGTTCTCCTGCTTCATGTACACGCAGCTCTTCTCGCTAACGACGCCCATGCTGATGCTCAGCGTGCGCAGGAAGGACCACTCGATCGTCCACATGAAGAGCCATACCTCCTCGACGTCTAGGCTGTCCTCCGAGTGCAACATCATCGAGGGGATAGATTTCGTGTTCTTCTTGGTGGGCTTGAAGCCGCAATATTTGTGCAGCTCTGACCTCGACATGATGAGGGCCTTCCGCTTCACTTTCATGGAGAAGACCTCGCGCTTGCCCACCTCCTCGGGGAAGAACGGCCTCTTACCCTGCTTCTTTCTCTGCATCTTCCCCTCGATGAAATCCTTCTTGAATACTTCGTCGCTCCTGCTCGCGACGACGTCGGTGATCGTCATGAAGCTCAGGCTGTGGACGTAGACGTCGTCGCAACTGCGGCACGCGAAGACGGCCTCGTCCTCGTGGGCGCGCTTGACCAGGTCGTCGCACGCCTCGCGGCGGCAAACAATTGCTGTTAAACAAAAACTTGCTTCTCGGATCCTCGACCCCCCCCCCCTCAGCGCCCCGCACGCGCTCCGCCCCCCCTCCTCCGCCACTCTGCGAGCGACGGGGGGGGCGGGGGCGGGCGCAAGGGGGCGAGGGGGCAGGGAGAGGGGGGGAGGGTCGGGAGCATCAGAGGATAGAGCATGGGGGGAATGAAGGACGGAGGGAGGAGGGGAAGGAGCAGGGAGCAGAAAGCAGGGGCGGGGGGTTGTTGCTGTGTTGTTGTGATTGTTGTTGATGTTGTTGTTGCTATTGTTTCGACTGTTGTTGTTGTTGCTGCTGCTATTGCTAGTGCTAGTGGTGTTGCTGCTGTTGTGTTGTTGTTGTTATTGGTTCGGTTTTCAGCTGGACCCTCGGCGCCTCGCCGCAGAGACCACGCGTCGTGGACTTCGCACCGAGGCGGCGTTGGCGACCAGCAGCGGGCATCTCACCGTTGGAGCTGCGCTTGGCCATCTCCGATGCGAGCGGCTGGGCGTCGGGCGGCCGCGGTGCTGGTCGGGCACTGGCGGTCGGAGCACGCGTGCTCAAAGGCTCTGCGAAATTTGAGCCAAGAGGGCGACGCGACGCCGACGGTCGAACGGGGGCCCCTCGGGCCCCAGGGCGGCCCAGGGCCTTCAACAGCTGGGCCCCATGGCGGCCCAGGGCCCCCTAAGGCCCAGGTCCCGTTCAACTCGCAACGGCCGAAGCCATGGGCCCCAAAAGGTCAACGACGAAACCTATGTGGGGCCGTTGGTTGCGCCCAGGATAGATTTATAGCGCGGGCCCCATTTTCAAACTTAAAGCCCAGGCCGACTACGAGCTTGCCCCGAGAAGGGCCCCGATTTCGAGCAGCCAGATGCTTGTCTGCAGGACCCCTTGCTCTAATGATTATAATGTAAACGTGAAGCGGACGTAGCGGTGCCCAGACGGTCGGTCCAGGGCCTTTTCGGCGCCTTCTTTGCGACCCCCCTAGGGCGTAATTTGAACCCATCCGAAACATGTGTGTGTTTCGGCATTGCCCAATCCTGGGCCCTCTCGGCACGCTTCTTGGGGCTCCGAGAGGGCCCCGCGAGGGGCCCAGGATGGCGTTGATGCCAGAAACCCAAACACATATGTCATTGCTTGGCCCTCCGCGTCTGGAGCACCCTCTGGGGCATATGGGTGCCCTTTCTGAACCCTCTCAGAGCCCTCCCAGGGGCCTAAGAGGGACCCAACATGGGCACGATGCGGCTCCAATGGGGCCCAAGAGGGCCCCAAGGGCTCCCCACGAGGGTCCAACGTCGCGGGAACTGACCCTCTTCGCGGCCCCTCTCGGCGCCCTCTCGGGACACTCTTTGGGCACTCTTTGGGCACGCGGGGGTCCTCAGAGCCCCCCCCCCTGGCACTGTTTGGGCAGCTGAAGGTCTGAAGAGTCCCCCCCCTGAGACTGTTTCGAGACTTTTCGGGGAGCTGTGTTTTCATGTGTGTTTCGCAGTGCGCTGTTTAGCTACTTGTTTGAAAATGTTGTGAGATTGTTTTGAGACTCTTGGGAATAGGGCGGCGGGTGCCCAAATCGCTTCTGAGACTCTCCAAAAACACTATTTCGAGACTGTTTTGATACTTTTTGTATATTTTTTAGGGGGGTTCGGCGCGGGAGACTGTTTCGAGTCTTGTTTCGAAGCTGTTTCGATACTTTTTCTGTACTTTTTGAACGGCTCCCCAAACCCCCAAACAGTCCCAAAATAGTCTCAAAACAGTCTCAAAACAGTCTCAAAACAGTCTCCTGGCCAAAAACGGCACCAAAAAGTCCCAACACAGTCTCCAAAAAATATCAAAACAGTCCCCTTGCGACCGCCGCCCTCCCCCCCGTGCCAGGCCCCCAGAACGCGCAAAAAAAAAAAAAAAAAAAAAAAAAAAAAAAAAAAAAAAAAAAAAAAAAAAAAAAAAAAAAAAAAAAAAAAAAAAAAAAAAAAAAAAAAAACGGAAATAATCTCAGACAGAGTCTCGAAAAAGTCTCGAAACAGTCTCCATCCGAATCCTTCGAACAGCTGCCCCCGAGAGGGCGCCAACAAAGAGTCTCGCAGTCCAGCGGAGTCCCAGGAGGAGTCTCAAGAAGAGTCTCGGTGCCAAAAGAGTCTCCCAGGGGAGTCTCGAAACAGTCTGAGGGCACAGAAGGCCCCCCCCATGGGGAGACCTCCAGGAGCACCCCATGGCGCCCCAGCCACACCGACTGGCCGAAGGGCCGTCGTCGTCGCCGTCGTCGCCGCTGTCACCCTTATCACACTCGCTGTCGTCGCCGCCGTCGCCGCAGCCGCCGCCACAGTGCACAGGGGGGTCCTCATCGCCCCAAAGGGCGCTCCAAGATGCGCCAGCACGGCAATGATGACTGCACTTACCGCAGGACGGAGTCTGAGATGCATGAGCTCGCGGGCCAGACATGACGAAGCTGAGGAGAGGGGCGGCGGCGAAAGCCAAGAGAGGGCGCCAGACGGGGAGATGGGGGTGACAAATCACCTCGAACCGTTGCCCATCCACTTGCCAAGCCCAGGCTGTCAGGCACGGGGCACGTCGCCACGCCAAACCTCGGACAGATCCGTTCAGCGATGGGGGAAATGCAAGTGCTGCAAGCTTTGGCAATGAGTTTGCGCGGCGCCAAGATTAAGGCGAGAGCGTAATTTGAACACCACTCGCCCTCCATCAGTGTAGCTGATGCAAGTTGTAGACGAGCTCAGGCGAGAGCCGCAATTTGAAAACCGCCCGCCTTCCATCCGCGTCTGCTGCGGATGTTTAAGATGAGCGTGCGCGGCGCTAAGACGAGAGCCCCCGCCTCAACGTCGACCCCTGTCCCCCTCGCCCATCGTCGCCCCAGCCGCCCCTCTTGCACGGCAACCTATAAGGGAAGCGGGGGCCTCACCCCCTCCTCATTTCGGTTGTCCCTCCTCTTCCCCCTCATCACCGTTCCCTGGCATCCTGCTCCTCCATCTCCCCCCACACCCCTTAATCGTTTTTTTCATCGCTCATCGGGAGGACGCCAATCCCTCTGGCTCCTCGGGCTCTCCAGGGCGCTGCGGGCGCTCCTTCGACATGAGATCCAAACCACCTGGCAGGCCACGAAGGAGCTCCCGAGCACGCCGCCTCATGTACGGACGCAGCGTCAGGAGTGCGAATTTGTTTTTGTGCGACGGCTTGTCGTCACAGACCTCCCCAAGGTCCAGAACCCACGATACTAACAAGCCAAGTGGGCGGCCCTGCGCCGCCAAATTCTCAAGATCGCTGCCGTACGCTGCTGCGCTCATTGTGCAGCGGCCATGGCCACGATGGCACCTGGCCTCGAAACACCTGCCTTTCCTGTAATACACAATCGTACCTTTTCCTTGGACATTGACAGCATGCTGCACAGGCTCGCGGCTCGCCCGCGACCCCACCTCTGAACGGGAGGCCCGAGAGACAGGAGGCGGGGGCGGAGGCAACGGAAAAACAGGCGGTGGCATAGGGGCCTCGGGCGGCAGCGGGACCTCGCCGCCGCCGTCGTCGCCCTCGCCCTCGCTGAACAACTCGTCGATGTCCACGCCGACCTCGTCCTGTGCGGATCGAGGGGCAGGAGGGCGATGCAACCCCAGCCCTCCCACTCCACCCCAGACCCACAGAGGAGGCCTGCCGAGACGGCCCGACACGGCTCCAAGATGACCCCCAAGAGGCATACATATGTTCCTCGTGTTGCTTCCGCCTCTTCACATCATCTTCCTCCCCCGTAATGTGCATCTGTTCATCTTACCAGGGATTGCTTCACATCCTGCCTGCCTTCCACCGCCCCCTCCCTAACCCCCTGTCGTCAAACCTCCTCGGCACCTCCCGCTCTTGGGGACGTGTAGGGCCGTTTCGGTGGCGTGTCGGAACCTATCGGGGCTTGTTTGTGATGTGTTAGAGCCGTTGTTTTGTTTTACGTGTTGCTTGATTGGTGTGCTTTTGTTTGAAGCGTTGCTGTTTTACACTTTCCACACCGTTAACCTAACTAGCTAATGTGTTAAATGTAGAGGCCTCCCCACCTTATGATTAGGCGATGCTTGCGGGAACTTGCATTCAAGTATGCTGTCCTCGCCACTAGCGCGGACGTCGTCCGCGCCGCCGTGGTCGTCGCCGCCCACGGGCCCGTCGTCCAGGGGGAGGGGGTCATCCAGGTCCTCCTCCTGGTCCGACGCGATGCTCCCGCGGTCGCCGTCGTCGCCCGTGGCGGCGGGCCGCGCAGCTGTGGCCCGCCTCGTAGCCTTCCCTGACTGCCACAGCTCGGACTCGGGGCCCATGGAGACCACGACGACGTCGGCAGGGCGAAAACGGGAAACGGCACGATCACTCTCGTCGATGACCCAAAAGCTGATCGACCCAATCGGCCGTGAGGTCCAAGCTACTGAACGCCCCCCAATCAACCAAAGACTCTGTGGCACCCTTCGTGGGGGAGTAACTATAGCAATGACGGAATCACTCTCACCCCATCCCCCATCATCCTCCCCCCATCGATCCCTATGACCCTTTTTCCGACGAGCCCCCATTGCGTTCCCCTCGCCAGTGTCGTCCTGGTCTGTCTCGTCACACCCTCCTCTTCTCCCTCGTCCCCTGTGCCCGTGCCTGCGTGCCTGCATGCGTGTGCGTGCGTGCGTGTCTGCCCGTATTTGCGCGCGCCTACGAATATGCGCACGCGTGCGTGCGCGCGCGTGCGTGCCAACGCGCATGCGTTTACGCGCGTGCGGCGCACGCGCGTAAACGCATGCGCGAGCGTGCGTGCACGCACGCGTTCGTGGTGGGATGAATGTGTTTCCGTTCCGCTAACGACTCCTCCAACAATACCTCCACCTGGCCGCCGACGGCCTCCTGCTCGTCGACGGCGAGCGGCCTGAAGTTGGAGCAGTAGGGGCTGAACTCGTGGGAGCCGATGTGCCACCACACGTAGGCGTCCACGCCGTCGGGGTCGTCGCCAGAGAGGCCAGCTGCCACAACGCCCCAGCCATCGACGACAGCCGCCTTGATGCCGTGCAGTCGCACGACCAAGCTGGAATCGTCCAAGAGCTTCCGCTCGGGCGACCCCTTGGTGCAGAGGCCCTTCAGCTCGGAGTAGAAGCGCCTGCGGAACTTCTTGACGACGTCGGCCTCAGGGCAACATATGCACATGCCGATCTGAGCACAGGTGTACTTCTTCTTCTGGACGGGCACGTCTACGGGGGCACAGTCGTCGTGTATGATTGCCCTGTGCCTCTCCATCCAGTCTGATGCGAGACAAGCTTTCATGTTGCTGCCGTGCCCTGACATCCACAGCGAGCGAGCGATCGAAGCTGTCGACGTAGTAGGGTGCTTGAACTCCGGCATCTGGCCGATGTGCGAGGGCATAGGAGAAAGCATAACCTGGAAAGCAGCCACGCCCTTGAAACTGTTGCACATGGATGCCCACTGGGCAGCGCCCGTAGTCGACTCCCAAGCCTCCATCGCGTCGGCCATCTTTCGCTCCTCGGTCTTGGTCACGCGGCGCAAGCTCACCATGTGCGACTGGGCAGCCCGCATCATCGAGTCCATGTTCACGGTGGCGTTGGGGTCTGCCGATGCTCGCCGCATTGCCAAGTCAGTCATCCCCCCGCGGCTGGTCGGCACGACAGCCTCCGCGACGAGCTGCTGCTCAGACGCCTCCCGCCGCCTCTTGGCCTGGGCGCGAGCAAGGTCGCGGGACCGAAGGCCGAAGGCGCTGCCAGGTGCATCCGCAGCACGGGGGTTCCCATTGGCCGCGGCTGCGACGGCAGCCAGCCTCGCCACCTCTGCTCTGGGTAAAGCGCGGTACGCAGCGCTCAAGGCGGCGATGCACTGGCGGCCAGTCTGACCAAGGGATTGCTCCCTCAGGAAAGCATGCCAAGAAGACACCGTGCCCCTGACAGTGGTGGTAGCCTCCTCGCCTGGCGGCCCGCCAGGGCCCCCTGCGTCATCGCCACCACCTGCTGGCGCGCCCCCCTCACCGACTGCTCGAAATGCCCTGCCTGATAAACGAGCTTGGGCAACCACCCATTCGGCCGACGACTCCGCGAACGTTGCCGAGTGGGTCTGCACTCCCCTGACCATCAGCCGCCTGCGGATCGAGGCGTGGCGGGACTCGATAGCCTTGATGTCCAAGTCGATCATGGCGGCAAGCAGGTTCAACTCTGCGATCGCAGCTGGGTTCGACAAGCCTCCGTCCGCGTCCTTGTGTCGCAGCACGAAGTCCTTGGTCCAGCTGTCCATGCGGCAATCCTGGAGGTCACTCACTTCCTGCGCAACGGCTGGGTCCACGATCATGGCGAAGATGCGAGTCGGAAGCAAGCTATGTCGATGGGTGAACGCCTCCCGAACCTGGCACTCAGACCTCGAAAGAAGCTTGAGCGCGAGGGCGCGCGCCTTCCGAGTCATCGCCGACGGCTGCACGAGGTCCTTCCACAGCACGTGCTCGCGAAACAGAGGGTCCCACGCAGCCTTGAAGACGCGCGCAGGGGTGCCAAGCGCAGCCTCCACGATCGGCCACGTCCTGCTCGTCGAACTGGCTGCGCCCGTGGACTCAGCCTGGACAACCATGCCCCTCTGCTTGATCTCCCAGTGCTTGCCGCCGACCTCGAGGTGCCAATCCATCGTCCGACGTAAAGGCTCCAGCACCTGCCGAATGATCACCACTCTGTCAAGCGGCGACGTGTCCATCCAATCTCCAGCGGTGCTACGATGGTACTCATTCTCCAGCCGCTTTGCATTGAAATCTCCATGGCCCTGCCCATCGCCGCCGCTGGCAGCCGCAGCCTCTGCGGCGCCGCCCTCGCCGCCATCGGCGGCGGCAGGCGCAGCGGCAGCAGCTGGCAGAGCCCCGCCATCGCCCAGCCGAGGTCTCTTCTTGGAGCCCCGAGCCATCTCTTTCGCCCAGATAGCCCAGACAGCAGAGCCCAATCCGTGAATGCCGTCAAGTAGGATGAACTCGTCCATGGCAACGTCGGACCCCGTCCACCTGCTCCTCGGCCACCGGGTGAATCGAGCTCCCAAGAGGACGACCTCCAAAGCCTCCGACACCGACTTCTTGATCTCGCTCTCGTCTATGTCGATGCCCTCGGGAATCCATATGTCGACGTGCTCTCGGTCCCTCCAGTCCCCGTTCGGCAAATGGTGCAAAGCTGTCTTCTTCTCGATGAGTCGACTCCCCCGTGCGAGCGAAAGGCACAGCAAGTGCCGCTTGTACGGGGTGGCCTCTGGTGGGGGCCTCCCCCTGCGGATGCGAATCCGCTGTTGAACCACAGCACGGAATATCCGACAGAAAGAAGAGAAGCCCGAGCCCTCGTTGACGGCAAGTGCAAAATTGATCTGGCCAGACACGTCGGAGCCCGTCAGGTCGAAGGTGTGCGTGAATACGTTCGCGAGGCAATGTATGGAGCATGTGAAACCAATCTTGCCCCAGCCGTCGCCTCGTCGGTCAACCCCGACCTGCGCCTCGCAGCGGGCGTTCGGGCCAGCGCCGTCCAGGACTGACACGCGCGTCTTGCACGCAAAGTCCTTAGTAGCCCGTCCAACAGCTGTGGTGCGACGTTGGTCCGCCTCTCGAAGACACTCCCCAGTGTTCCGATCCAGCCACTGGAGCGGAGCAATGGACGCGCCGACGATGCCGACGTACTCGCCCGCGTTGGTCCTCAGAAGGTACCCGAACCTCGACGAGCTCTGCAGCAGCTTGATGACAGTTCTCTCTAACTTCGGCTTCCCCCACTGTCGAGATCGATCCATGTGGTACACGGCCACCTGCTGCTGCTGCTGATCGGAAGAGCCCACTGCACCACGACCACGTGCTTGGAACGAATCGTTCACTGACAGCTTCATCGGGGTCTCGTCGTACTTGACCGCCTCGACGTAGTGGAGCAAGTTCTCCTTGGGGACCGTATTTGCCAAATAGCACTCCAGCGCAAGCTTCTGGTCCCGCTCGAAATGTACGATGGTGTTGGCCAAGACGATCACGTACTCTGTGTAGCTCCCAGGGGTCACGCCGATCGAATCCTGGATCGATGCCTTTGACGTGGTTCGGCCAGCCAGCTCGGACGACGAATCCATCAACATGCGGTTGAGCTTGGCTGGCACGTCTTGGTCTGATACTCTCTGGCGCTCGATCGTGAGCGCTGCCATGCGAACATACGGGAGCAGCGGCCACTGATCTGTCGAGCCTCTGCCCGTGCATTGGACGATGTGTCTCGGCACGGTGGGCAGCCTCACTGACTCCGACAGGGGCAGCGCCAGGGCGTTGGTGCGGCCCGCCGCCGCGACCGACCTCGCGGCTGCCCGACTGGGCCTGCGGGGCGGGGGGCGCGGCCCTCTGGCCGCGGCGCCCGCGGGGCCGCGGGGCGGCGGGTGAGGCTCACCCGCGACCTCGGCGAGCACATCGCCCCAGCCGTCCTCCATCGCGGTCTTGCCGCAAAAAAAAGACACAAAGTGCCAAGGCCTTGCCGAGACATGTGCGATCCAAAACGGCAGCGCGTGGTGATGATGATGGCGGTGACGCTGCTGCCGTTGGCGACGGGGGGGGGGGGGGGGGGGGCGTCCTGAATCCCTTGGGAAGGGGGGGGGGCAAGGGGCGCTTGCACCCGCTCATCACAGCCCTTCCTTTCTGTCATGTGTCATGTGCCCCCCCCCCGCTCACCCCCGCCCAGCCCCCGACCATATTTTGTCTCCCCCCTCGCTCATTACCCAACCCCCTATTCAAAACAGAGCAAGGCGGACGTCGAGTCGGTGCGTGTCCTGCCCAAAGGGCACGGGGGGGGGGGGCCTGAAAGGGCCCAGGTTGAACCATACGGAACCTCGCATCGCACCTGTGGGGAAAGGGACTGAACCCCGCCAAACTACACATCGCACTCAGCGCGCGCTGAGGTTCTTGGGGGACGATGCGCTGCGGACCCGAGGCAGACCCAGCAAAACGTTAGAACTATTATGTTTTCCGCATTATCGAATTGATGCGAGCGAGCATTGTTTTTGATATTTGTTTAAACTGTTTTGGGGCTGCGTCGGAAACGTGGGAAACAACTGTTTTGAGACTCCCTGGGAGATGTTGTGGGGAGTTATCATTTTCCCAGCTGGAGGAGGCCACGCATATCATAACCCAAGACGGCCCAAGAGGCGCCCAAGACGAACCAAGAGGGCGCCAAGACGGCCCCACGAGGGGGACCACCAACCGAAAAGTCTAGCCTTTCGCCCCAAAACGCTCCCAGGAGGCCCCCAGAGCCCCCCAAGAAGCCCCAAGAGGCCCCCAAGAGGCGTCTCAAGAGGCCACCGGGAGGCGAAAATCATTGATTTCCTATGCGAAAACGTACATTTTTAGCATACAAGGCTTAGACGCTCCAAGAGGCCCCCAAAACCGCCCCAAGACGGCCCAAGGTGCTCCCAAGAGGCCCCCAAAACGGCCCAAGAGGGCGCCAAGACGGCTCAAGAGCGCCCAAGACGGCCCAAGAGGGCCCCAAGACGGCCCCAAGAGGGGGACCACGAACCGAAAAGTCTAGCCTTTCGCCCCAAGAAGCTCCCAGGAGGCCCCCAGAGCCCCCAAAGAAGCCCCAAGAGGCCCCCAAGAGGTTCCCAAGAGGCCTCCAAAAGGGCCCGACAAGGGCCCCAATAGGACTCCCAAGAAGGCCCAGAGACGCCAAATAGAGAGCGATCGGTAACGTAATTATCCCGGCAAAGCAACCTAACATCGATGTGTAGGAGCACATCTGGAAGCATTCCCCTTAAGATTCGGATGAGAATCCAATTGTAGAATTCTGCTGTTCTCGCAGTCGTAGTCGCATTCGCGATGACAGTCGCAGTGGCAACGGCAGTCGCAGTCACAGCCTCAGCCTCAGCCTGCCTCAGCCTCAGCCTCAGCCTGCCTCAGCCTCAGCCTGCCTCAGCCTCAGCCTCAGCCTGCTTCAGCCTCAGCCTCAGTCTGCCTTCAGCCTCGGCCTCAGCCTCAGCCTGCCTCAGCCTCAGCCTGCATCAGCCTCAGCCTCAGCCTCAGCCTGCCTCAGCATCAGCCTGCCTCAGCCTCAGCCTCAGCCTCAGCCTGCCTCTGCCTCAGCCTCAGCCTGCTTCAGCCTCAGCCTCAGTCTGCCGTCGGCCTCGGCCTCAGCCTCAGCCTGCCTCAGCCTCAGCCTGCATCAGCCTCAGCCTCAGCCTCAGCCTGCCTCAGCATCAGCCTGCCTCAGCCTCAGCCTCAGCCTCAGCCTGCCTCAGCCTCAGCCTCAGCCTGCTTCAGCCTCAGCCTCAGTCTGCCTTCAGCCTCGGCCTCAGCCTCAGCCTGCCTCAGCCTCAGCCTGCATCAGCCTCAGCCTCAGCCTCAGCCTGCCTCAGCATCAGCCTGCCTCAGCCTCAGCCTCAGCCTGCCTCAGCCTCAGCCTCAGCCTGCTTCAGCCTCAGCCTCAGTCTGCTTCAGCCTCGCCTCAGCCTCAGCCTGCCTCAGCCTCAGCCTGCTCAGCCTCAGCCTCAGCCTCAGCCTTCAGCCTCAGCCTCAGCCTCAGCCTCAGCCTCAGCCTCAGCCTCAGTCTGCTTCAGCCTCAGCCTCAGCCTCAGCCTCAGCCTCAGCCTCAGCCTCAGCCTGGCCTCAGCCTCAGCCTCAGCCTCAGCCTCAGCCTGTCAGCCTCAGCCTGCCTTCAGCCTCGGCCTCAGCCTCAGCCTGCCTCAGCCTCAGCCCATCAGCCTCAGCCTCAGCCTCAGCCTCAGCCTCAGCCTCAGCCTCAGCCTCAGCCTCAGCATCAGCCTGCCTCAGCCTCAGCCTCAGCCTGCCTCAGCCTCAGCCTCAGCCTGCTTCAGCCTCAGCCTCAGTGTGCCTTCAGCCTGCCTCAGCCTCAGCCTGCCTCAGCCTCAGCCTGCATCAGCCTCAGCCTCAGCCTCAGCCTGCCTCAGCATCAGCCTGCCTCAGCCTCAGCCTCAGCCTCAGCCTGCCTCAGCCTCAGCCTGCTTCAGCCTCAGCCTCAGTCTGCCTTCAGCCTCGGCCTCAGCCTCAGCCTGCCTCAGCCTCAGCCTGCATCAGCCTCAGCCTCAGCCTCAGCCTGCCTCAGCATTAGCCTGCCTCAGCCTCAGCCTCAGCCTCAGCCTCAGCCTCAGCCTCAGCCTCAGCCTGCTTCAGCCAAAGCCTCAGTCTGCCTTGAGCCTTGGCCTCAGCCTCAGCCTCAGCCTGCCTCAGCCTCAGCCTGCATCAGCCTCAGCCTCAGCCTCAGCCTGCCTCAGCATCAGCCTGCCTCAGCCTCAGCCTCAGCCTGCCTCAGCCTCAGCCTCAGCCTGCTTCAGCCTCAGCCTCAGTCTGCCTTCAGCCTCGGCCTCAGCCTCAGCCTGCCTCAGCCTCAGCCTGCATCAAGCCTCAGCCTCAGCCTGCCTCAGCATTCAAAATGTGGCCCAGGATGGAATTCTGGGAACTCGAAGAACACGAAGTGGCCTACAGTTGGCTCCGGGCATTCAAAATCATGCCCAGGAATGGAGTTCTGGGAAGTCGAAGAACACGAAGTGGCCTACAGTTGGCTCCGGGCATCCAAAATGTGGCCCGGGAATGGAGTTCTGGGAAGTCGAAGAACACGAAGTGGCCTACAGTTGGCTCCGGGCATCCAAAATGTGGCCCGGGAATGGAGTTCTGGGAAATAGAAAGCACGAAGTGGCCTACAGTTGGCTCCGGGCATCCAAAATGTGGCCCGGGAATGGAGTTCTGGGAAATGGAAGAGCTCGAAATGGCCTACAGTTGGCTCCGGGCATCCAAAATGTGGCCCGGGAATGGAGTTCTGGGAAATCGAAGAGCACGAAGTGGGCACGAAGTGTGTGACTGTATGCGAAAAACGATCCCCGCCGGCAAACCCCAACAGCCCCCCAACTGCCACCCAACTGCCCCCAACGGCTGCCCAGACCCCCCTGTGGAGTAATGTTGAAGTAATGTTGAAGTAATGTGCTGCTCTCTTTTTAGCCCATTAGAAACCTATCAGTCTTCGATGTTAGGTAAAAAGCTCTTCACACCAAGGCTCCCAAGAGCGAACGGTGACGTAAACAAGCTGATAAGACCAAGGCTCCCAGCAGAGAGCGGTGACGTAACAAGTTCCTGACACCAAGGCCCAGCCAAGGCTCAGGAACGGGCGGCAACGCAACAATCTCTGAACACCAAGGCTCCCAAGAGCGCGGGGTGACGTAACAAGCTCTCAACGCCAAGGCTCCCAGTACGAACGGTGGTGAGAGTAATTGCGGTTCATTTGTTTGAGGCACTATTTCCGTTTCCGTGCCGGCCCAGGTGACGGAAAGAGCGAGGTACAAGCGAGTGACGTTGAGCAGGGGGCGAAGCCCTTCTAGGGAGGGGTCCAGGGGAGGGGCGAGGACCGGACGTGTTGGTCTAATCGCCTGTTTCCCTCGTATTTTTTCCCAACCATCCTGTGGTGTTGGGTCCTCGTTTTGAAGAGACGGTGCCCCGCGTTCTCCTTCCTTCCTTCCTTCCTTCCTTCCTCCCGCTGCCTCCTCCCCCCTCCTATCATCATCATCATCAACACCCAATTCGGCACACCCCTCACACGTTTCGTGGCTCCATCGGGAGCTCCACCGAAGGCCCCAGTGGCCGCGGCCGCATGCGTCACCCACACCCATTTCGGCACCCCTCACACGTTTCGTGGCTCCATAGGGAGCTCCACCGAAGGCCCCAGTGCCCGCGGCCGCATGCGTCACCCACACCCATTTCGGCACACCCCTCACACGTTTCGTGGCTCCATAGGGAGCTCCACCGAAGGCCCCAGTCGCATGCGAAGCACACCCCTCACACGTTTCGTGGCTCCATAGGGGGCTCCACCGAAGGCCCCAGTGCCCGCGGCCGCATGCGTCCCCCACACCCATTTCGGCACACCCCTCACACGTTTCGTGGCTCCATAGGGAGCTCCACCGAAGGCCCCAGTGCCCGCGGCCGCATGCGTCCCCCACACCCATTTCGGCACACCCCTCACACGTTTCGTGGCTCCATAGGGAGCTCCACCGAAGGCCCCAGTGCCCGCGGCCGCATGCGTCACCCACACCCATTTCGGCACACCCCTCACACGTTTCGTGGCTCCATAGGGAGCTCCACCGAAGGCCCCAGTGGCCGCGGCCGCATGCGTCACCCACACCCATTTCGGCACACCCCTCACACGTTTCGAGGCTCCATAGGGAGCTCCACCGAAGTCCCCAGTGCCCGCGGCCGCATGCGTCACCCACACCCATCTCGGCACACCCCTCACACGTTTCGCACTTACACTAGGCGGTTCCATGATCGCATTCATGCAAATATATTCACTCGCGCGCAGACCCATTCATACTCAGATTCCCTCGCGCTCTGACTCACCCGCGTTTTTTCTCTCGTAATCAGATCTATCGTATTCCTTTGCGTTGTGTACCCCGCCACATTTCGGCACACCCCTCATGCGGTTCGTGGCCCCATAGGG